TTATCGGAAATCCTAGTTATTTTTCCTTCGTTTTTATTTCTGCAACGAATATGATTTGGTCAAATGTGATTTGATCAAAAACCAAATATTCAGCACAAAAAAAAAAGAAGAAGAAAAAAATTGACTGAACGCCGTACACTTGGGGCCAAATAGCAAAATCTTTTAGCAGCATAGCAACACTGAAACTAAAATTTCAATTCTCAGAATAATATTTCCTGGAAAAATGTATTCATAAATTAACTCCAAAAAATAAGGTCAATCAAGAATGTTTTTGAAAATGTTGAAAAGCGAAACAGAGAACATAAAAATCGATCTTAATTTTTGGAAAAAAATTTTAAAGCTGAACATCTCAGTTTTTCAATTACCAGAAAAAGCCAAGAAAAAAGAATTAAGTCAACAGAAATGCTATTAAAAATTACTGCGTTATAATGAAAACGTCTAAAAAAAGTTTTTTTTTATTTAAAGAAAATAAAAAGATAGAAAAAACGTTCCTAATTTTTTAAATTTAACTACTATTGCCGAAAATCTTATGCCGAAAATCTCACTTTAAATTTTTCTCCTAGCCATAATTTTAGAAAAAAGATTGCGATAGTTCAAAATAAAATTCAATGCTTATTTTGTTATCAAGTTGCAATGTTATTGCAACTTGAGAAATTCATAAAATGGCGGAAAACGTGAATTTTTAAACTGTTCACTGTTTGTAGTTTAGATTTCAATTTTTTGTTGGTTAAGTGATCTTTTCCGATAAAAGAAAGGAAAATGTTTACGATAAAAAAAATCTAATAATTAATAAAATAAAATAATAAAGTACATTACAAAATATGCATTGAATTTTATTTTGAACTATCACAGTTTTGTTTTTATTTTAGGCCTTTGTTTAAAACCTATAAATTTTCTTCCATTAAATTTGAATTTATATTACTTATTTACGACTAAACGTTTTCCTACTTTCATTCTGTGGGCATTGCAGTTTGTATTTTTTATTTATTAGAATTTAATTCTAAAATTAGTTTTCGTATTGCATGACATGAAAAAAAATAATTTCTTTTCTTCAATGTTTATTTATTTTGATAAAAATGGCAAGCTTTTTGTTTTTTTGTAAAAAAAAAAGCATAAGTTTTTTTATATTTTTGAATGAATTCTAATAATGGAACACTATTAATTTATTGATATTACTCAGTTTCTTGATTAAAAAAATGGAACGCTAATGTTTAAATAAACATTACTACATTTTTCATTAACATGTCTAAATACATGTACAGCCCTTCGTTAGCCAACCTGCTGTGCAAATGGCCCTTCACTCAAAAAGGTTGTGCATCCCTAGTTTAGTCCATAAAATAATTAAAACTATAATAGAAGTATTTACGATAATAAAGATAGCTAGAACAAATTAGATATTAAAATAATTGAAATTATTTAAAATAAATAAAAAAAACTGTAAAGTTTAAGAAGAAATAAGAGAGATAATTCTCTTTCTTTCTTAAACTTTAATTCTCTTAAACTTTCTTTAACTCTTTAATTTTAATAATATTAAAAAAGAGATTATCCATAAAATATTAAAAGTCTATCACAAACGCTCGTAAAAATGCAGAGCTATCATAAAAACGTTGCAATAAAAAAGTAGAAAAAAAAATTACTGTATACTGTACAATTTTACCATATTTTTTAAATAGTAGATTGATAAAAAAGTAGAAAACTCTAGATGTAAACCAATACAAAAATCGTTCTTAATTTCTTTTTTAAAAAATTCAACGCTAAAAATCTTAATTTAACCTTTTCACCTTGCCATATTTTTAGAAAAGTCGGCCAGATATCCGAGCGGTTAGCGTGTCCAACTGTGAAGCCAATGGCTGCGGGTTCGAATATGTTATGTCCTCTGTTGTGTGTGATGTGTGAATGTGCCCCATCCTATGAACGAGTATTTGTGGCTGTGTGTCGTGGGTAATGTTGCTCGCCTCCGTGACTTAAGTTCACAGGTGCCCACTGGGTAACGTTAAATGAGTAACACTTCCGGCATCTTCCCAGGTGAAAAACGAAAAGTTCAGTACCAGCCGTTAGAGAACAAAAAAATGAAAAATATTTTTAGAAAAAAAGTAACCATTAAAGTATAACGTTTAATTTAAAACGCTCTTTAAGAAATGCTGAGTCACAATTAAATCCCTGATTAAAAGAAAAGTTAATAAAGAAAGCAAAAGCGAAGTAGAAAAAAAATCTTCTTAGTTCTGAATTATAACTGCAACATTGTGAATCACAGTTTTCTATGCTGCCGGTTATTTGTCTTACCGCACAGAAAAAAAATTGACAATAAAAGAAAATCTATTAGAATAGCAGCATTAAATGTTGCCCTATAATGAATACAAAAAAATTCTTAAAACGAAGAATGCTGAAAAAATTACGAAATTGACTTGCCTGAATATAACTAAGGAAAAAAAATAGCAATACAAAACTCATGGTTTGCTACAAACTAATCTAGTTTAAATTCTTCAAATTTCGCTCCATGCATTTGTCTTTCAGAACATAAATTTACAAGTTTTAGAACTTAACAAGTCTGCAGGGTGTATAATCAAGTTTTTCAACAAATAATAAGCACCTTTTAAATACTTTTTAAGCACTTTTAAAAAAATATCTAAAGAATCTTACCAATTAAAATCACAATTAATTCTATCTTTATTAAATTAAATTAAAATAAAGGGAGATGGAAATTTTAAGATGAAACTTAGTGATTCTTTACTACTCTCTGGGGACCCACAGGAAAATACGCAAATTAGTGAATGATCCCAAAGTCGAGTTCAAGGATTCTGGAACTGATCTATAAACAATAGACCGAGAGGAGGTCATTAGTTTGCCAGTGACGAATATGATGGTGCTTCACCAACGATGAAACTAACAAGAGAAATAAAATTTTCCTTTACTTATAGAGAAAAAAATTGGCTATGTTTAGTTGGTTCCAGTGATTAGCAAAAATTAGAGAAATTTTTCAGTTCGATTTCAGTGGGTGGGAAATGAAGCCTGAAATTGAGAATCTGTTGCAAATTGCAGCAGAGTTGCTCATGAGAATGCAAGAATTCTTCCCACAGAATCCAGCTCAGTATACTCACATGCAGACCAGCAAGTAGTTCATCAAACATTTAAAATGATTGACGCTCTCATACGCTATGGATGGTATGCCAAAATGGATTGCAGTTGAATAAATTGTGAAAATGGTGAATAGAACAATGTGCAAACCACGCTTTTTGCGTAATTTTTGGCCAAAATTGATATGGTAAAAAAAAATAGTAAATAAAAAATTGCATTTTGGAAAAGAGAAATATAATCCCTTTCTAAAAACACTCAATGAAAAAAGTGCCTTTAAGGGCTTTTAAAAAATGAAAATCAAAAATAAGCACCTTTAAGTACTTTTTAAAAATGCTACGCACCCTGATCTGTGTAAAATATATATCTAATAAAATATAGTAACTTTATTTTAGTTAAATTTATTTAAATCCCTCCTAAAAAATAACTTAGCGGAAAAATATTTTTCCAAAAACTAATTTGCCAAATATTTGGCCAACCGAATATTCAGCAAAAGGGCTAAATATTTGTTACATCCCTACTACTGACAAAGAAATAGAATGTAGCATGAAATAGAATGAAGACATACTAAAATTACAACTAAAATTAAGTACTAATTTTATAACAAATTAATACAGATGGATTTATTTTACTACCCTTTATCGGTATGTTCGCAAAAATTGACCTGGAAAAATGGTACCCTCACAAAAATAGTCTTAGCAAAATTGGTACTTTGACAAAATTCTTCTCCGTAAAATCAACGCTTTCACACAAATTGCAATTATCCTAAGAAAACTTACATATTCCCAGAAAGAAGTAAAAAAGAAAAAAAAAACAGGATCGCTAAATTTTCATTAAGCTTGTAGCCCTTTTGCAGAAAAATACAATAGGAATGCAGGTTTTGTAAGAATCATACACACGTGCAAGTTTAATGATACATAACATTAACATATTTTAAATCTCATTCAGACTATTTAAAAATCGCCACTCATAATCACACATTATAAAAATCATATGTTGTGGTTCTCATAAATCAAAAGTCATACATTGCGATTCACATTCATGTGATTTAAAAGTCCCACATCATGATTCATATTCAGACAGTTGAAAAATCTCGTTTCGCGATTCATATTCCTGTGATTCGTAAACACTTGATTTAAAAGTCATGAATCTCATTTCATACTAGCACATTTTAAAAATCAAATCATACGTTGTGATTTTCTTCAAGCAATTCAAAAACCTTACATCACGATTCATATTAACAAAATTTAAAAATCACACTTTGAAAGTCTTCTTTTTGCAATTTGAAGATCACACATGCTATTCCTAATCACAAAATTTAAAAATAACAGATCATCACATGATTTAAAAATCACAAAATAATCACCAAGTCCTGGCCGGAAAAAAATTAACCAACAAGTTCAACTCAGATGGTATAACTACCATCAAGCAAACCTCTACACGTTTTTGTTTAAAAATATAAAAAAAATTGCTGATTTAAAATTTATTTTGCGCCTTAGCGATTGTAGTTGAATAGAAGATGATACAGAAATAATCCCTGACAGATTACAGTCCGGAAATATCCCCTTTTAAAACCTTAGTATTATTGAACGGCACATATCAATATAATTTAATAAGAAAGTTTAAATAATTTTCTTCACAAAGTAATTTTCGTTAAATAATATTCCAGATGTATTAACCTAAAATAAAATTTCACACTTTTTCAGCATTTCATGTGAGATAAAATTAGGTAAACATATTTACTTTTGTTTTTGTATCCCACAAAATACTATTTGATTTGACATGTAAAAATTAAAATTAGATCAGGGAAGGATTTTCCTATCCTAGTAAAATGCATAACTAAAAAGAGAGTACCATATAACATCTTTAAGTTTTTATACGTTACGCATAGCATAAATTTTATTCTAAAATTAAAATAATTTACTTACCTAAAATTTATCCAGAAAAACCACTCAGGTCTGATTATCAACTGGTTAGATGAGCACACGTCTCAGGAACGTTAGCTTGTAATCTTTTCTTCCTCAGAATGGATGATGTTTTCAATAGAAATGTAAACAATAACAATCTCCAGCTCAGGACCTACTCTAGATCCGGTTAAAAAGTTTGTAGCTGCTTACTACATGTTATTCTGATAGGCGATGCTTTCGAACGGATAATTTTGTTTTCAATAAAAGAAATAAACTAGATAATTTCTGAGCTCAAATCTGCCATATTTCATAAGATATTAATGTTATTATGTGATTCTGGGGAGTTTGGAGAGAAAATTTGTTTTAGTTATTTTGTTATTTATTATTAAAAAAGGTGACATGGTTGCTAGATTTTGANTTAAAAATGACCGCTGTTTGTTCGTGTTGCAAGCTGTGCACCATCTTACGTTAGTGTTAACACTTTTAGTATTGTAAACAGTATTGTTAGCATTGTAAACATAAGTAATCAAATACATTGTTTGCAGGAATCTCAAAGCACAATGATGCCAAATGGCTTTAAAATACAACTGAAACAGTAACCCGGAAATTTAGGCAGTCCCGAGCTTGCAGCGCTGGTACTACGACAGCAGACGGTCCCGCAGTGGACTGATCGTTAAGACACGGTTCCCAGCAGATCACCGAAGTCAAGCATCACTGGCTGCGGTCAGTGTGTGGGTGGGTGACCACTTGGATCAGTTGTAGTGACCGAGGGTGTGCGGTATTGGTCCTCGTTAAACTGTGCTGCCCTACCGTAAAGTACTCGACTTCGCGCGCAGGTCGTCGGGCTACCGAAACAGGGGTGCCATCCCCTCTACAGAGGATCAAAATTGTGATGGCATGTCTTCGGATCATCCTCCGGGATGTTTCCCAGACCGTCGTCAATAGCCCATTGTGCAGCTCTAGTGCGACGTAAATTAACAACAATGACATGATATGCACGAGTTTATATGCTATACTTTTATAATTAAACATAATTGTTAATTTATTAAAATCAGGATTCCCAACTTATTGTTATCAAACAATATGTAGCTAAAAAAGTGTCGATATTTGCTTCACTATTTTTTAATAATGAAAGTTATAACTGAACTGTTTCAAATATTTATAATGTCCTTTATGTCAACTAGTAAAATATTTTTATTCGTCTAAAATGGTATTTTTAATGTTAGGACTAAATGGACAAGAAAAATTTTTTGAACGAAAATAATGCGTTCATTGCGTTGTTTGAAACTAATACCAATTAATACCAATACCAACTAATACCAATTGTTACATATGTCGAACTTATTTTTACAAAGAGAATGATGCGAAATTTTCATATCTTTGCTTTGATATACTTGTTAGTACTTTTATATATAAACGTCCAAATGGGTTTTTATTCTGGAGATTTTTCATATACCTCTTATTTGTATTTATTTTTAACATATATTTCATTACAATGTTAAATAATTGATACACTAGCGTAAACAAGTGCAAACCGGTTTCAGCTACGTAAAAACAATAAAGCTTATTATAGTATCACCTGATAATTATAATTTTACATCGAATCTTACAGTACTTCTAATAATTTGGCCAGGGACTGTATTTTAATGATTTATTTTCTGTATGTGAAGTTTTTTAGTTTATTTTTAAACATTATGACACATTATAGGTCTGAAATATTTTTGTGCCCCGGTTGCTTGCATGCTATGAAGATGACTCTGCCAATAAAACACAAATCTTCTTTCTTTAAACACTGCCTGCTTTTTTAAAACTATTTAATAAAATATTAATTCTGAACAAAAGTTCCGTTGTCGAATTAGACTGCATTCTTATTGTCCTACTAACACTTTAATCTTACTTTGTGATTTCAGTGCATTTTTTTTATAATATTAGGTGCAAGAAATGGTTAGAGGCCAGCAAAATTGTATCGTTACAGAATGTTGATACTGACAGACTGACTACACAACAGATGAAGATTGTGTTCAAGGCATTTTAAAATTGAGGATTATGTATCAGAAAAAATGCATAGACTTCTTCCTAGTGCAGTTCCAATGAAACAATATTGCATCTTTTTAATTTTATGTTACTTTATTTCACAAACTTGCTCAAATATTTATTTATTGTATAAAATGTATGCAATTTTATTTGTGTGATTTTTATTTTATTGAAAAGTATATTCTTAATATATAGCCAAAAAGAACTTTTTTTAGATAAGTTTAGTAAAGATAAAACAAATTCTGCAACAAGTGTCTTGTTTATTTCTTTAAAACTCTAAGTATAATTAAAAAATTTTATACATATCTATCACATTTCTTATATATATACACACATGGAAAAATTAACAAATCAAAAAAGTTTTTTTTTCAAGGGGAAATGAATTTTACTCAATTTTTTAAAGTTTTAATGAATTTTTATTTTTTAATAAAAAGTACTTTTGTTAAATGAATATTTACTACTTTAAAATAAATTATAATTCTGATAAATTTGCGAACTGAAAAAAATTTAACCGCAAAATCGAATCCGATAATAATTAACGGCGAAAATATGAGTTCATTGAGTGAAAGTCAAATTATCTGCGCCCATTCTTCAATCGTTCTTGACGGTAGCTTTCCTGTATAACACCTTCAGCGCCCAAGTTGGGGAAAGATCGTTACGATTTAGCATTGATAGTATAGGAAGTTTCCCTTCTTTACGCGAAGCGTATAAGTTTTTTGGTATAACTCCGAGCAATTTTTTCAACAGGGCTACTTTTCGAAATTATTTGGTGAAAATTAAATTCTGCCCAAGCATTTCAAGTGCATGCGCAGTTGCTCAGCCGGTTGTACCCACAGACATAAGTCACAGTAAGTCCGGTTACCAATTCCTAAATTGACCAAATATCTTGCCAAGGTCGCTACCTACGAATGAAAAAAAAATTAAATTTCATAATTAGAAGATGGCAATGTGTGAAACTAAGGTTAGCAGTAGAAGTTGAAGTTTTCGATGATTATAATCTTCAGTTTTTTTTTTTTATTATTGTTATTGTTTTAAAATTTTTATCATATAAATTTACGGATTTAACTTGGCTCCATAATTGCATTTAAGGCTTTTCAGTACTTGTTCATCATATTTCCTATGGAAACAACTGTGTCAGAAGACATGTCTACACAACCACAGGTTTGTTTTGATTCTGAATAAATTCAATTACTGTGTCCAAATCGAAATAATTTCATCTATATTTGTAATTATGAAATGATTTCTTATTTTAATATCTTTTTTTTTAATGTTTATTTTATTTCAGTTTTAAAAGCTATTCTTCATTAGTGTGCATCAGAAAATAGTTTCGATATTGTGTGGAGTATTATCAATTAAATATACTGTTTAATTTTTTGTGCCATTATCAGACATCCAAACTATATAAATTATCTATTTGGGAAGTGATTCACCAGAGTTCTCTTTGGGAATAAAAAAGGGCAGGGTGCTTCCTCACAGAAAAAGGCACTCACATAGTACTGTTAAAATGCATCAAAATGTGTAATACAGTTGAACCTCACTTACGCGCAACTGCTTAACGTGAAATATCTCTCTGAATGAAACACATGTTTGGTCCCGTGAGTAATCAATCAATAATTGTTGTTTCCTACATTTTTAACAAGAAATTTTCAACCTGATTACTTCATAACATGAAAAGAAAGAGTACAACACAGATAATAAATAATTAGATATGGTAGTATAGTATAATATTAAAACATGACAGAGTTATTGTATTACTGTAATGAATGATGAATAAGATCACAATCATTCATTTTGAGGAATGCTATTCTGGGGGAGATATCCATATCGTGATCTGTGGCAGAATAATCGCCACTTACGGGCGACGGCTCGCGAGAAGCTTAAAAAAACATCAAAAAAAGGGACCAACTCGAAAGGTATAACTTGTAGCTACCCCGGGCCAAAATCTACTTGTTCTTTTTTTTTTTTTTTTTAAATTTGCAAGTTGAAAATTTATTTGACAGCTTGGCGATTGTAGTTGACGTGACAGATCATGATACATAAATATCCTCCTATTTCTATTTTCTTTCTTTATTGGAAGTAGTAGATAGGCAAATAAAATAGTCAAAACAAAATAGTTTAATAAAGTAGTTATATCTTTAGAGCTAATTTTAATTTTATTTAGTTTATAATAGAATTGTTTGCATACATCAATGTAGTACATAACATGTATTAATAGCACAAAATAAATTGTTTTCATGATGTATTGGAAAAAGCAAAATTGGTTAACATGAAATAATATTGATAGTTACATTGATTTCGCATTAACAAGGTTCAACTATGTAATGTAATAACTTAAATTGATTCTCACAAATTTTTCAATTACTGTCTTATACTATTTTATGTCCAATTATTTCAAAAAGTAATTCTTACTCATTATCAAAATAAATGTAAAAATTGAAGCTCTTAAGAAATAATTTACGGCATGTTAAACGACAATCTCTATCGGTAAATTTTCTTCAGAAAACTACTTGGTAGTTTTTCAATTCCTGCAGCTGCTTCAAGTTGTTGCATATTTTGATGTATTGTGCACACACATACAGAATGACACTGTCGTAAAATGTTTTGGTTTAAATACATGCCCCAGAAATGTCGAGCAATGTGATTTTCCGTAAAATCCGTGGCCTATTGTTTAATTTAAAATTAACAAGTAAAATCTGGGGTCTGTCCATGGTAACTTTACTGTCATTAAGCGGTAGTTTCTCAAATTCAATTTTAGGAAAAACTGCAGTTTCTCAAATTCAATTTTAAGAAAATCGGTAGTTTCACAAAATACTTTAAACATATTTTCGAAAAATATTTAAATATTTTTGAAAATATTTGCATACTTTACCATATTTTTGTATTGATTTTTTTTATATAATTTTTAAATTTCACAAATTATGTCTAAATTTTCACAAAATAGGTACCTCTAAAAAAAACCTAGACAGACCCCTGAAAATAACTAGTTCTAAAAAAAATTTAACTTTGATAATAATAAACTCAAATATAGATCAGCAGTTCAACACTGGTTATAGAATAAAATATTAGTC